TATATATATATATATATATAAAATTCCTGGAAAACTGATGAGAAAAGATGCAGAATTACAAATTAATTTCCTTAATTTTGAGAATTAGTAACGCACACAAAATCTAGGATAAAGGCTGGGTACTTCTGATTTAGTATCAGGTCTGGTGATATTTTACACACACCAAAATTAGTCCTGTAGTTTCCTTCTATCTATAGCACTGCCATTATAACTTGGCTCCCCCCAAGTGTGCAAAAAAGCACCCTGCTGGATGCCTGCTTGTGTCAGTCACCCAGTATGTGCCACAGCGAGGTAGGCCTACCACCCTCTACCTTGCTGGCATCAGAAGAGTAAGAAGATCACTACGGAGCCCAATACCAACATCATTAACAGTTGCTGAGGTTACACTTAAGGCCTATGCTTCTCTTAAAGTACAATTAGAACTGTGTTTCAAAGAAAGACTATAGAAGAAACACCACGGGTGATTCTGATAAATGCCTGCTTTTTGTTGAGAATTTCTAACACTGGTTTTATTCACTTTACTAATTAAAAAAAAAATGAAAAGAGAAATCTAAAGCCATCAAGCTTTAGAATTTAGACTCCAACAAGTATAATATGGGAGATAGTGTCTTAAGAAACTTGTGGGATGACTAATCCCACAAATCAGTTTCAAAAGGGCTTTTTTGCGGGGGGGAATAGGAGGGGTATTATGTTTTCTAGAACCTTCTGAAACAGTTTAGAAATGATTTTAACACACTACATTCTATCAACATCCAAGTATTTTTCAGACCTCAAATACTTTTATAACTGCTTCATCCTGTAACATTCTCTTAAAAGGATTATGATCTGTGGCATGGTCTTCACATTTTTTTCTTCTCTGTAAGTCAAAAAAGGACTTTAACTGCCGGGCTGGGGTTTTTTTCCACCAGTAATATCTTGCAGATACCCATTATTTTTAGCAGTCAAGCCTGCAGAAAATAACACCTCAGATACGAATAAATTCAAGCAAACCTAACCTATAAAAAGCAACAAATCTGATATATTTTCCTAAACTCTAATGCACTTAGAAATCAATTCCTTCATCATCAATCTATAGATTATTACCTGAAAGCACAGGGCAAATGAAAAAGCTTTCAGAATCAAAATGTTTTTCCTCCCAGTATTTGAGTTAGTTGGTAATTTCAAAAATCTAGGTCTCCTATCCTAACAAAGGGTACTTTAACCACCACTGGGAGAGTACATTCAGCTCTAATTTTACTATATGCTGTAACATGGAGAGTGCATAAAGCCACTAATTATTTGCCTTAATGTATGCCTGAAGAGCTTTTAAACAAAGAAAAGTATTCTGGAGGGAAAGGAATCTATTACTGATTAATAACCATACTTCATGCTTCTTGCATTACCTATTCCTTTTGCTTAGTGGAGTACATGCTTTTGTGCATGTACAAATAATGGGTGATGCAGAACTGAATTTACTCAGAGGGGGAGGAAACTGAAATACTTTACACCTTGTGGGCAATGTTGCACACTCGAGGGACTATGCCTTGGGTAGGGGTGGAAGGAGGATTATGCACATGCTCTTCTCCCAGATGATCTCAGTCCCTTCCTACCTCTGCGTGATTACATCCCTGTTCCCAGTGGAATTCTAGCATTTAAAACATGTTTTGTTTTGTTCACATAACACAGCATACTATTTCATCCAATGCCCAACTGAGGAAATGGAGTTCTGGTTCCAACACTGGAAGTAAAACTAGCTATGCTGGACTTCATGAGAAATCTGCTATACCCTTCTAAGGGATTTTCAAGAGTTAAGTTATTTTGACCATCCCACACTTTTGCCTTATGTATTGACTCTGGAACTACTCTCTACATAAGATTTCATTGTTATTTACATCTGTGTTCTTATCAGCTGCAGCAGAAAACATCCAAATGATTAACTTTCTACATGATACTATTCTCTAAATCCTTTGTCTTACTGAGATTCGTATCTGTAAATGCTTCTCTCCAGGCCAATTCTTAATGCACTTTATGAACACCTTTTTATAGGTTTTGATGCTGAGAAAATTCTCCACTTAATGCTTACAGCAGCATCACACTATGCACATGTGAAAACAAAGCCTGTTCAAATAGTAATCTTGTTTTCCATTCGTTAAATTTTTCCTCTGGAATCACAGCCATACACTGGTCATGGCTGCCACTGTTTTATTTCATAACTGTGGTTAGGATGATTCTTTTTAACAGAGATACACTTTGCCTAGTAATATTCATTATTTCCCAAAGAGATATGCTTTCTTCTTTTCTTGACACATGAAGACCTCGTGGTCTTTTCTGATCTTTGATATAAAGAGACGCAAACAAAGATATTTCTCTGATATCAAATACAAAAGAGCAGCCTCCTTGCTCCTCTTCAAACATCAAGACAGGCTCCAACCTCAGGTCCTTTCCACTTGCTGTCTCGCTGCTGTTTGGAATTCCCTTCTGCCAGATTCCTGCATGGCAAGCTCTGTAACTTCCTTTAGTCTTTATTCAAAATTCACCTTCTCAGTAAGGTCCTTATTTAAAATGTCAATCCAACTCCCCATGCACACCGAACTTCACATTCCGCTTTTTTCCTTCATTGTTTTTCCTTAGCAACACAGATATTTTACCTACTTCTTTTGATAGCATGTAAGCCCCATGAAGGCAGAGGTTTTTGTCAGTTTTGTTCATTCCTATATTCTCAGCACCTAGATTAACACCTGGCACACAGTGGACCCTCACAAACTTTGTTGAATGAGGAAGTGCATTAATGAACGGAGGCCAACATGCACTCAGTCTCCCTTCTAAATAAGAGCAACCACTTGTTGTCTTGCTGGATGTGGGCCAGATTTACTAATTTTTCAACAAAAGATGGAAGTCTGAATTTGTAATGTAAAATGTCTCAATTTGTAAATGTTGACTCAGGGTAAAAAAAACAAAGAAACCACTACGGACCTAAAAAGCCACATTTATATTAGGCTGTGGGTGGCCAGTAAATGTATAGTATACCCTTTTAAATCAGCCATCTCCAATCACATCAATCTTGTCTGTCATTCAGTTAAAATCATTCATGTATTCTTGTTTACTTACATGACAAGGCCCCTATTTTTACTGAGCTGGTTACTTTCTTTGGAAAGGAAACCAATACCTATGTAAAATTTAAATATATATAGGTAAAGAAAATATGATCAGACAAAATTATATTTGCCATGATGCTTAGTTTTTGCAATTCTCTTCTACTTTCCATAGTATTTATTACTTTCGTGTCCAGAATGTTATGTATGGGGTGAAGAGTGACACCAGGAAGATTTAAAGTAAGTTATGTAAAAATGGCTGTAAGTTTTTATAATATGTTCCTTTCAATAAATTCACTGGTAACAAAAGCTGGTGAAACAGACACTGGATTTTAGGAATAAGAGGTATCTGCTGTCCAAGAACACAGCATTTTCTTAGTTATCATCTTGCTAGAACGAAGCATGATTTTTCTCATTATGGAGAAATTTTGACCAACAGTGTTTGGTTCTCAGTGTCTCATCACATGACAGCCAGCTCCTGGAGTGCCAAAGCATGGCTTTCTCCCAGCACTAGTGTGG